CTCGCCTGCAACTGGCGAGGCCGGCCTCGGCCGACGCCGGCGAGGTCGACCTCGCCCGACGCCGGCGACCTCCGCCGGCCCCTGCTATGGCCGACGGAGGAAGAAAAGAAAAAAAAAATATGAACCGGCCCGGAACCGGTTCCGAACCTGAACCGAAACCGGAACCGGAACCGCCAGGGGAGGTTCCGGTTCCGGTTCATGCTTGGCCACGAACCGGAACCGCCGGTTCCGAACCGTGGCCATGACTAGATACACATGCACTTCACAACAACAAAAAAAGTGAAGAGAAAACTAAACTAAAGTCAAGTCAACCATTGAGTGTGAATAGTCATTTTCTATCCTATTTTTACTAAAAAGTCAAATTTGTCCTTAATTATCCAACTGAAATTAAAGCAGTAAACCCCAAATTTATTCATTTCTCCTCATAATTTTAGTTTTTGCATTTTTATATTATATGTAGTTGCCATAATTAAGAATATCATATGTTTTCCTTTTCTTTTCTTTGTTCTAAGCGGGTTGTTACTATGCATGTGAAAAGCACTAGTTTTTCTATTTTTATTTTTAGATTTACCCATTGCAAATACAATCTTTCTAGAAGAGAGAATTTTCAGAAAAATATAGTTCTTCTCTACATTTTTGAGTAAATTTATGAATAAATTGTCAATTAGAATTGGGGATTCTTTGAACATGAACAACTTTTTAACACAGCCAAATAATAGTAATTTTTTTATTTTTTTGGTGTATATCATGAGCAATCTCTTTCTAGTGGCACCATTTATAATTGGGAATGGTGAGGTAAGGAGTTCGAAGCTTCCCTCCTCTAGGTACGCGGTTTCTTATGGGGTTCCCTGGTGGGCCCAGTAGGGGCCCGCCACTTGCCTCTCACCTAGGAGCTCCAAAGTCCAGGGTTACCTGACAGACAAAAAAAATGATCAAAGGCAATTTTGTCTATCTAGTGAAAATGGAACAATTTAAGTCATATATGGTGTGGAACTAGGCAGACCCTATTCCAAACTAGTCTATTGATGGTGTAATATCATAGAACAATTGCATGTTTTCTTCTCAATCTCTTTCGGTCCAAACTGGTTCGATAGGTGCTGAGGTTAGTCACAAAACCTCGAGAGGGGTGAAGAGGTTGTTTCAAAACTTAAACAAGTTTTCGTGGAATGTAACAAGTTAATGTTTTGATAGATGCAAAAACAAATAAGATATAGTCACATGCAAATGCTTCTATCAAACAGATAATGAGATAGAAGATATACTAGTAGATATATACTGGTTTGGCTTTTAACTAAGCCTACATTCACTTTTCAAACTAATAGCCACCAACAAGGCCGGAATTCATTAGTAATATCAAGAGACATTACAAAGTAGCAAATGTCGCGTTAACCCGAAATTGCCAAATCCCACTATGAATACACAAGCACCACTTTTAGACTTGTATACTTCTCAAATCACATATTACATATAGAAGCAACCTCATAGAGAATATAATCAGAAATACGCATCTTCTATCAACAACAACAGAGCAAAGATGAACACTCAAAGCATTAGACTGATTTTGTTCGTTTCCACCAACCTTACTACTTCTCTCGAATTGAATTTATAACCATTAAACCTCATATGACCATTTGAAACTCAAATCCCTCAAGTAGCTGTTGTTTCTACCAGTAGTTCTAAAACAATCGCTTTTGCTTTTATCCAAAGTATGTCTCCTTTGTTTTCTTGCCCATATATGGTAGAACTACTCTAACTCAAATCCAGTCCTCTTGCCACGAATCCCAAGCCTTGTTGACAAATGTCTTCCTGTCCTTTAATGTTCATATGACATGAACAAGCGACCAACACCTTCATGGCCAGTGATAGAGGCATGATACAGGACTCCAACTTAGTTGATATAGGGATATGCTTTATTAGCAACCCAGTGAGTCTACGCAAGTTGCCTGCAACTGCTATCCTTTGGTCTTCCTGAGTATATTAGTGATCTAGACTTCACTCAATTGCTCACCTTGTCATGGTACCTCCAAGTCCTCACGAACATCATGTTCTTTCTAACTTGTCACTTTGTATCATGGTCTAGCCAGCTTCTAATCGTCTTTCCACTATATACTTCCAAAGCTAATGGTGACAAAACGTTCCTTACGTCAACCTTACAATGTCTAGGCCTTCTTATCCAAGTGGTAGAAGCACGTCACACGTCTTCCACCTTGTCTAATGAAGGAAGCTGCTCTTGCTAGCAATTCAGTGAGTCTATCCACACTACTCACCATTGATAGAGTCAGAGCACTCCTCGTATCATTTCATCTGGTTAAGACACCATCTGCATTTTGGCTTGTGCATCGATCACTTGTTCTACTCAACCAATATACACAATAGCAACTTTTTATTATTTTGTCATCTTCCAAACAATATAAGGGACTTTCCCAACAATAGTCATTTGTATTTCCATGACAAAGAGACCATATGACAATGAGAAAATTTATGAGATTCTCTCACATAGGATATAAGAAGTTGCTACAGTTGTGTTGGATCTAAATCGATCAAAAGCAAATCTGACAAACAAGTAATTAGAAAAATAAACTTAAGCTTGTTCTTTGATTTTAGGTCAATCACAAAGTGATCAAACTTCCACAAAGCAAGTCTTTTCAAGGATTGATGGCGTGTGAATATGTGTGAGAAAGGCGTGCTAGCTCCTAAGAGCAAAAAAAAAAGTAGAAGCTACTTCTTCAATCTAAATGACAAGGAAATTAAAATGCTTGAAAGTTGAAGCGTGAAAAACTGGAAATTTGGCTAATAGGGAATCAAGTTAAACTAGAGTGAAGTGCGAGAAATCTCGAGGAAAATGAAATGATAACACTGGAAACAAAGGAAATTGAAGCTGCAAACGCTTAAATCTAAAGGAAATCGAAGGGGAAGCACTTGAAAATGGAAATGCATTTCAATGGAATTGAAATGACTGAAAATTTATGTATTGACGCTCAAATGGGAATATTGAAAGGAACACGACATTGCCATTCACAATGTGCATTAGAAACAACAAATTTAATACTAAAGCTAAAACTGCAACTGAAAGACATTACTTCGAAAGGAAAATGCTTCAGAAGAAAATTTGGCAGGGTTTTGGCATTGCCTCAGCTTGTCATCTTCCTTAGTGCTCTTTTCTTTTATCTTCCTAGGATTCCCTTCGACATTTATTGCTGTTCACGTGCAATCCCCTCTTTAACTCGTCCTCGTTTCCACGATCTTCACCACTTCCGTGATTTCAGTTACTGCTAGCAATGGTTGTCTTGCAATAATTTCCTCCTCTCATGCAAGCTAATTAAATTTAGTGAAGTTGCACAAGAACCCCATAAAATTTCAGAGTTGTACAAGCTTGCTATGAACTTTCAACCTTACGTAAAACCACTTAAACTTTCATTTTGTTACAACATTCAATCCTCCTCTATTTTTCCGTTTGTGCTTGTGTATCATGTGATTTTTCAAGGGCAAAAAATGGTAACTCTTATTGATTTTTTTAGTCAAATCACTTTTTACCTCTAAATAGATATTACTTGAGATGTGAGTCTCACGTGGAAACAACTTTACATATTCTAAGGGATTATCCAATTGTCCGCAGGGTATGGTTTGAGTTTGTTCCACAACAATATTTGTGAGAATTCTTCTCAATGAATTTGTCGCAATTGTTGAATTCAAATCTCGCTGGTAAAGGGCGATCGAGTTTTCATCATAATTGAAGCATAATTTTTGGAGTAGGTGTGTGGTTTTTTCGGCAATGGAGGAACAAATCACTTTTTCAGGACAACTTTGTTTTCCCTTCGAATCCGGTACAGGTAATTCAGTCATACGCAAAGGAAATCATTAAAGCTTCATCTGCGATACACTCGACGTTAAGTGGATCATGCACTTCTTCGATTTTGATCAAATGGGATCTTCCACCTTCTAGGTGGATTAAACTAAATATTGATGAGGCCTCTAAAGGCAACCCAAGACTTGTTGTGCAGGGGATTTATTTAGAAATGAAGGGGGTGACCGGTTTGGTGGTTTTGCTGCATTCGTAGGAATATGTTCATCGACACAAGCAGAACTTTAGGCTTCGTGGTTGGGAATCAACTTTGCAAAATAACTAGATTTTCATAGAAATCGTCATTGAGATTGACTCTAAAGCCATCACCAATCTTGTTAGTCTAGAGCTTATGATTGAAAAGGCTAATCCTGCTTTGCTTAAAGATATCAGAAGACTGATGCGGTCTCACTCTAAGTTTAAAGTGCAACATAACTTTGGGGAAGGAAATCGCTCTGCTGATCGACTTACTAATCTTAGAATCGATAAGCGCTTGGATATTAATTTTTTTTCATTACCTCCTATAGAGTTACTTCATGTTCTATTAAGTAACAAAATAGGGATAGTAGTTTTACGACGTTGAATTTTTGTATTCGGCTTTAGCCCTTTTTCATATCAAGAAAAAAGAAAAGAAAAGAGCCCCACTTTAGTCCCTCACTTAAAAGCTTCCCCAAATTGAATATATATCCTCATTTTCTGCAGTTTTGTGCCGTATTGGAGAATTAATTTTCGAAAGATGTTTCCATTTCTAGACAAAGATCGATGCTTTATTCCAAAAAATAATCTATACTTTTATAAAATCATAAATATTTTTTTTTAAAATTCACTTACAACTCCACCATAGCCATCAACCGATCCCTTAGTAACGACCGAGCCTCCAATAGTCGGTGGCATACCATGGTCACAGTTGGCCATACCCTAGGACTTCGATGGCCCTATCCAATCACTGACAATCGAACTCAGGTCACAACTAACTTGTCTAGTATCGACCATTAAAAGTATATTGAGATTTAAGCAAAATATAGCTGTGTGATAGATTTTTCATAAAAGAGTAGAGATTATGCATGCAAAATGATTTATGAAATGAATCGAGGTATTGGAACTGGGACTATGACGGCCAGATGCTTATATTAAAGCACTTACACAGAAGCAAAGAATGTAGGAACTCCAAATAACATTATTCTTTCCAGCTCTTACACATTACACCACGTAGAGTCCAGATAAACTGAGAAACGAGAAATATAGCATCTGACAACTCGTATATCACACTAGGGAATCACGTCCTACTTCCACTTTATTGAAGGTTTGATGCGGTTTGTTACTTGACATACTTCACAAACCATTGTATCATGTCTGAATGAGCCTCCATCGCAGCAGCTTCGTCTTCATCCTTGTATCTCACCGTCCATCCATGATTTGTTTTGGGAAAGACCTTCACGAATCCGTCAACCTGCACGACGAGATTGAAAGAGAATCATTTCCAAGCTTCTCATACGAGAGGCTACAAAACAGAAGAGAGTTGGATTCGATTCAAGAATCTGAAGATCCTGGTATGGAAGAGCCATTGGGACCCCCACAAATCACAGTGATTAATGATATTGATCATCGTTTTGAAAGGGAAAAGACTGTCTAGTGAACAAGGGCAAGAACCTCAATAACAGAAGATAATTCATCCATGATGTTGTTCGAAACTGACAGGTTTAGTAACAACATTTGCACAGGCCTAAAAACAATTAAGGAATTGAGAAAATTTGCATCTGATCAAAAACTTGCCCTGTCTCATCTTGTCTTTAAATGGAAATCAGAGTCGGACATGCTCGGCTTTCGTGTTGGACAATGGAGATCGTCAAGTATCAGCTTACAAGAAAGAACTTTATCTTTTCAGGACCTATGTTCCGTTTGTTGAACATGTAAAGCACCATCAACTTTTCGAATAATTTAGCATCCGGAACAATCGCAGATTCATCAGAAAGCATTCTCATATGCAGATCAAAAGCAACAGGCTTTCTTACCTCGGGCTTAGCAGTGAGCACCTCTTCAAACTGTTTGAGGAGTTCAGGTGGAGCCGTTTCATCAATCTCAGCTCCTAGCACAGCAATAGGAACCTTAACCCCTGCCGACAGACCAATCAGCTGAATAAACTAGTTATGTAAGTGCACCAACAAAATGCTAAATTGACCTTCTTTGGGCCATACCAAACAGACTTCAATTAGCCCACTAACATCTATACACATCTGGCGGCTGGAATAAAGTGATTTTACAATGCTCGTTTTGGACCACTGTGCTCATGCACTCATGGATTCAGACGATGGTAAGAGCGAAAGTACAACTACCCTAGATTGTAGAACATCAAGAACAAGAGTTTTCATTCAAAGAGGCAGATAATATATATTGCCTTCATTTTCCAGCACTCTCCTGTATGAAGAAATGCAACTTGATGTCCAGACTTATTTTTGGTAATACTTCAACTTGTTATGTAAATCAAGAAGCTGCGAAGTCTGCATATGGTTGCAAAATGGTGTAGACATACCTTCGATATCATCAGGAGTGACAAGTGGAGGGTGTAATAGCACACCAGCTTGGATGAGCTCACGCTTGCCTAACTCAACCACACCCTTACCTGAACAGAAAACATTTTAAGATAAGCCAGCATAAAAAACAATATCATACGAAACATATAAAATGTTATGCAGAGATATTTCTTTTGTCTGATATGTTGGTCCGTGGTCTGAATATATGCTTCACATACCACCCCAGCAGAAGCCTGCTGCCCCAATTTTAGATATGCCTTTACTTTTCAGAGCTTGGATAACTGGTAACGTATCATCAAATCCCGATTCCTGTAAAATTGGTGTTTAGCTTTAGGCAAAAGAGATATCTACAGGGAGCATGCACCTTCCACACCTAGAAGAATTTAAATGAAATTCAACAAAACCAAACACTAGCAACGAGAATAACTCAATGCAGACCAAACTAACACAACAAGAATACATGAAAAACCCTTTAAATGGGACAAGCACCATGGGGTAACGGAATTCACTAATCAGTGAATAATCAAGAGTACAGGAGGTCTTCAACACAGAAACATTTAATGACGTAAACTTCTTTCTACAAGCTACATGATCACAGGCTCCAAATTACAAAATTACTGTCCACAATCTTAAGACTACAAGCTCCAAACTGCAAAGCATGTGCAAATCTGCGTGAGCCAAGCCGTAGAAAGGAGTACTCAAATAACTCTACAAAGTGGAGCCGAGTTGGGAGTTGGTCTATCTTATGAATCAATAAAAAATGTCTCTCCTATCTCATGTGAAAATTCGAGTATCGTAAACTTTGTTAGAAATTAAACCAAAGTACTTGTTTCCTTTTTGAGTCTGTTCGTATTTCCATATTTTAATAGATATTGTGAGATATTGTTTCTAGTTATATTTTAGGAAAGTTTCCTAAGTCAATTAGATTTCCTAATTAGAATAGGTTTCCTAGAAAGAGATTTCCTATTTCGAATCAAACTATGGTCTATATATAGTCTATTTCTCTTGTAATTGAGACATGCAATAGAAAGACGCGAATTGCGATTGTTTCACCTTCAAAAATTCCTTTCATCAAATGAATATTGTTGCCGCGCCTCTGACGCTCACAAATTGGTATCAGAGCTTACGGTTCGTGATCATGGCCTCAACGAACAATCAGCTTCCTCTTCAATACCCTCGTCTTACCAAAGAAAATTATGGTAACTGAGCTGTTAGAATGAAAGCTCTACTCGGCGCCTACGGTGTGTGGGAACTTGTTAACACTGGCTATGATGAGCCAGAGGATGAAGCCACGTTGAACCAGAACCAGAGGAATGCCTTGGAGAAGGTTCGAACGAAAGATCAATATGCCCTGTCGATCATCTATCAAGCGTTAGATGATTCCATGTTCGAAAAAAGTTTCAAACGCCACTACCGCTAAAGAGGCATGGGAGATTCTTCAAAACACACACCAAGGAGTTCAAAAAGTTCAGAAGATTCGCCTTCAAACCTTGAGAGGCGAATTCGAGGTAATTCGCATGAAAAAATCTGAATCGATTGCTGATTATTTCACGAGAATTTTGGCAATTGTTAATCAGATGAAAAGAAACGGAGAAGAAGTTTCCGATGTTCGTGTTGTTGAGAAAATACTTCGGTCCTTAGACAAGAAGTATGATTATATTGCGGTTGCAATCGAAGAATCCAAAGACTTGGATGCCATGACGGTCGATGAACTTATGGGTTCATTACAAGCCCATGAAGAAAGGTTTAGAAAGAAAAAGATTGAACCGATGGAGGAAGTTCTCCAAACGCAGTTGACCATACGAGATGAAAAGGAGCAAAGAAGAGATTCCGTACAAAATGGCGGGACAAATCAAGATCGTGATCGAGGTCGTGGCCGAGGTCACTTTCGAGGAAGAGGTCGTGGACGAAGCAGAGGAGATCCTGCTCGAAGTGATGGAAGATACCAGTACCAAAGAGGTGTTCGTGGAAGAGGAAAGAACTCGATAAGTCAATGGTATGATAAATCTAAAATCCGATGTTATCATTGCAATAAACTTGGCCATTATGCTTCTAACTGCTGGAACAAAGAAAGTAGCAGAGCAGACGAAAAGGCGAACTTGGTGAATGATGCTGATCAAGTTGTCTTATTGGCATTCAAAGAAGATGAAGAAGGTCAAAGCGATACGTGGTATTTGGATATCGGCACAAGTAATCACATGTGTGGGAGAAAGGAGATGTTTGCCGAGTTAGATGAGACAATTAAAGGGAATGTCTCATTCGGTGATAACTCTAAAATTCTTGTTGAAGGGAAAGGTACAATTTTGATTCGTTTAAAGAATGGTGCACGTCAGTTTATTACTAATGTTTATTATGTTCCAAAAATGTCAAGCAATATCTTGAGTTTGGGACAACTTCTGGAGAAAGGTTATACTGTTCATATGAGAGATCTTAATCTTATGTTGAGAGATCGGAATAATAAATTGATTGCAAATGTGAAGATGTCGAAGAACATGATGTTTATTCTTAATATAAAGAGCGAGATGTCTCGATGTCTCGATGTCTAAAGACGTGCGTAGATGATCCTTCATGGTTGTGGCATTTGAGGTTTGGCCATCTCAATTTTGGCGGACTCAATTTGCTTTCTCGCAAGAAGATGGTTTATGGCTTACCACATATTGATCATCCCGATCAATTATGTGAAGGGTGTGTTATCGGCAAACATTCCAGAACTAGCTTTCCGAAGGAGGCGACTTATCGAGCGAAGAAGCCGCTTGAGTTGATTCATTCTGATTTGTGTGGCCCGATCAATCCTCACTCATATGGTAATCATCGATATTTTGTTACTTTTATTGATGATTTTACTCGGAAAACTTGGGTGTATTTTTTGAAAGAAAAGACAAAAGTGTTTGATATTTTCAAACAATTCAAGAACCTGACTGAAAAGGAAAGCGGCTATTTTATCAAGGCTTTGAGGACTGATCGTGGTGGAGAATTCACCTCAGCCATATTCAACAAATTCTGTGAAAATCATGGTATTCGGCGTTTCTTGACGGCCCCGTATTCTCCTCAACAAAACGGTGTGGCTGAACGGAAAAATAGAACCATTCTTGATATGGTTCGAAGCATGTTGAAGAGCAAAAATTTGTCCAAGGAACTTTGGGCAGAAGCTGTTTCGTGTGCCGTCTATCTTCAAAATAGATGTCCAACATATGGACTTGAAGGCGTAACTCCACAAGAGGCATGGACCGGGAGAACACCAAGTGTTTCGCACTTGAGAATTTTTGGGAGTATTGCATATGCTCATGTCCCGGATCAAAAAAGATCGAAACTTGAAGACAAGAGCAAAAAGCTCATCTTTATCGGGTATGACTCATCATCCAAAGCCTATCGATTATTTGACCCTAACACTTTGAAAGTGTATGTAAATAGAGATGTCAAGTTCGATGAAGATGGAATGTGGGAAGAAAATCTAAAAGAAGAAGCGAATGTTCGTGATGATTCCGATCAAACAGAGTTGAAAGATCAACCTTCACCTTCTTCTCCAACATCTTATTCAAGTTCATCAACACCATCCTCTTTAAATAGTGTCGATGAACCGCTAGTGTCAAGATCAAGAAGATTGTCTGAAATTTATGAAGCTACCGAAGAGCTTCATCTTATATTTCTTCTTGCAAATTATGAACCACTTGCTTATGATGATGCGGCCAAAGAAGAAAAGTGGAGGAAAGCCGTGAACGAAGAAATTGAAGCCACCGAGAAAAATCAAACATGGGAGCTTGCTAATCTTCCGAAGGACAAGAAATCAATTGGTGTTAAATGGGTGTACAAGGCCAAGAAGAATGAGAAAGGTGAAGCAACAAGGTACAAAGCTAGATTAGTAGCGAAGGGGTACAAGCAAAAAGCCGGAATTGACTATGATGAAGTTTTTGCCCCTGTCATCCGCATGGAAACGATTAAATTGATTATTTCCATTGCTGCTCAAAATAATTGGCGGATTTATCAAATGGATGTCAAATCAGCATTCTTGAATGGCATCCTTGAAGAAGAAATTTATGTCGAACAACCCGAGAGGTTTGTTGTGAAAGGTTATGAAGACAAAGTGCTAAGGTTGAAGAAAGCTCTATATGGGCTTAAACAAGCACCGAGAGCATGGAATTCCAGAATTGATGCATATTTCAAGGCGAATGGATTCTCTCAATGTCCATACGAGCATGCATTCTATTTGAATCAAGAAAAAGGTGATATGCTACTCGCCTGTTTATATGTTGATGATCTTGTTTTTACAGGAAATAATTCGGCGATGATTGATGCTTTTAAGGCATCGATGGTGAAAGAATTTGAGATAACCGATAATGGTCTCATAAATTATTTCCTTGGTATCGAAGTGAAGCAAAGTGCCGATGGGATTTTTATTTCCGAAAAAGGATATGCAGAAAATATCCTTGAAAAATTCAACATGAAGAACTGTATGCCGGTCAATACACCAATGGAGTGTGGAACCAAGCTTTCAAAGTTTGATGATGGTGCCGATGTTGATTCGACATATTATAGAAGCTTGATTGGGAGTTTGAGATACTTGACATGCACGAGACCGGATATTATGTATAGTGTTGGAATTGTTAGTCGATACATGGAGAAGCCGAAATCATCTCATCTTAAAGCTGCAAAAAGAATACTTCGGTACATCAAAGGTACTATTTCTCATGGTTTACACTATTATTGCTCTGAATCTTTCAAACTTAGAGCTTATTCGGATAGTGATTATGGTGGAGATATCGACGATCGAAAAAGCACCACGGGATTTGTATTTTTCTTGTGCGACACTGCTTTCACGTGGTCATCAAAGAAGCAATCAAGTGTTACTCTGTCGATATGTGAAGCTGAATATGTAACTGCATCTTCATGCGTTTGTCATGCAATATGGTTGAGAAGACTACTCAAAGATATTCTTATGGAGCAGAAAAAAGCAACGGAGATTTTTGTTGATAATGTTTCTGCTATTGCTTTGGCGAAAAATCCAGTTTTTCATTAACGAAGTAAACATATCGATGTTCGATATCACTTCATCCGAGAACAGGTTAAAGAGAATGAAGTTGAAGTATTACATGTGAAGACCGGAGATCAAGTAGCAGATATTTTTACTAAACCTCTCAAGATCGATGCTTTTCGAAAGTTCAAAAGCCTGCTTGGAATGATCGATGGAAGAGAATTTGGTTTAGGGGGGAGTGTTAGAAATTAAACCAAAGTACTTGTTTCCTTTTTGAGTCTGTTCGTATTTCCATATTTTCATAGATATTGTGAGATATTGTTACTAGTTGTATTTTAGGAAAGTTGCTTAAGTCAATTAGATTTCCTAATTAGAATAGGTTTCCTAGAAAGAGATTTTCTATTTCGAATCAAACTATGGTCTATATATAGTCTATTTCTCTTGTAATTGAGACATGCAATAGAAATACGCGAACTGCGATTGTTTCACCTTCAAAAATTCCTTTCATCAAATCAATATTGTTGCCGCGCCTCTGACACTCAACAAACTTCTCCACTTAAAGGATTGACATTCTCGTCAATATCGGCCCATGACTTGCAGCGATAATCCTATTTGAGATGTGATTCGATGCATTCTCGCCCCTCCACCATCCTATAAGTCTGTAAGAAGCTGTACCTTGTTTGAGTCGTCTCGTCTCTGCAATCACTCCCCGCGTTTGTCAGATCAACTGCATAGTCTATCCTCAAATCACATATCTACTTCACAGATCTTCTCGAGTGATTCATAATTAAAACCTACCCCACAAAAGGTCAACTTTCTTTGGTTACTTGAGTACTCTTTTGAGGGCTTGACAGACATGAATTCAGGTGGGTTCACCCAAATCATATCAGAGTGAGATCCCCTCCAGTTGATGCTTTGTTTTAGGATGGAGTAGCCCCATAGCCGATAGATGAAGGCAGGGAACGATTGCCAGGGTGAGAGGGCTCAGATAAGGTGTGAAGGAGTTTGTGACACCTCAAGTCCCACATCAGATGGGAGGGGTCTTTCTTAAGTGATTCTTAAGTAAACACTAACCCTAAATGGTCACTTGGTTATTTTGTTACTCAAACATTCCTTTTAGGGGTTCGGTCTACGTGAAACAGATCTAAGTGTAACATAGCACCATGTCAAAGAAGAAAGTAAATGAACAACTATAGAAATAATATTACCTCCATTGTATAAAAAATCCCGACCCATGGTTTAACTCTTCTCTCTCGGGTGTACAATGTGCATTGTCTTCGAAGTTTAAGACTTCCAATGGCAAGAAACTCTTCTAGTAATTGACACGAAACATGGCCACAGGCAACAACGCACGAATCGGTCTGACTACACATCAACAAACAACCTAATAATTTCAACACTCTCAAAGTTTACCCATACTATTAAGCAGGACCTTGCATTAGTGAAAGCTAAAAGAAGGCTAAGGACTTACAGACCAGTAGTTCCAACAATTAGGAATTGATGAGAAACAGACACTAAGTTTGAAAAGAACTGAGTTGAATCCATTAACTATACAATAGACCCAAAGATGGAACTGTGTCAAATGAATGAGTTGTCAGCAGAAACAAAGAAAATAGTCACATTGGTATGGTCAAGGTCAATCATGTCCTAGCCGCTATACTCACTGAACATCCCAACTACCAACAGATGAGAACCACAAGCTCTTTAAGATAATGTATGAGGGATCAGAACATACAACTCCATGATCTTTTACCCAAACTGGTATGGGCCTCTCAGCATTCTCAGGATCATAGGAATCTCCATAGAAATAGTCAGGAGCAACCACGTAGAAACCAGCAGCCGCAACTTTGTCCGCAAGTTTCCTGCAAATTCGGAAGCATTGTGACAGTTAATTTTTCGGAAGAAGTCACGCATAAATACAAAACTGTTACTTCACATGGTACTTCCGTTTGATGCAAACATCAGAATAGCATCAATCACACTTCTCCAGGGGAGCGCACTTTAAGGAATTCAGCTAATCTGCGATAGTCCATACCTAAAATTCGGAGCTTCATACCCTGCACCATCAAGACACACAATTCAAATTAGAATACCATATGTACATGACAGGAAGCAGAACACATAATTTGGCCAACAATAAAGTGGATTAAATCCATTATGTTTCCACATTACGACTTCAAGAACTTACCATCGTTACTCGGGACCGCAGCAAAAGGAGGAAAGTTTCAAGAAAAAGATTGTAAATGTCTGAGTACACACGCACTTCACAGAAGAAGGAAAACAGAATACTAAATTGAAGGCAACCAGCAATTGTAAATAGTCATTTTCCACCGCAAAGTCGACCTTCCCCAATCAAAACTAAGCTCAAGTCTCATCATTCACAACCTTTAAACAGAACCTGGAAACCATTCTTCACAAAAACTCACCAATAAAATCCTATCAGACGGCAGTAAATAAAGCCACTCCATATAGTGAAGCCAAGAGCTAGAACAAAAAACGGAGGGGAAAGAAAATGAGCAAAACTTTCACAAGTGCGATATTACGCACCGAAGATGTCGGAGAGGAGAACGATCGCGAGCTTGGAGTCCTGCGAGCCGACGATGTAGGCGTCGAGGCCACCCAGTTGCTCCACGTGTCCCGGCCCGCTACTCGGATCGAGGGTCGGAGGGTTTTCGCAGCACTGTGGACCAGACATTGCTATGAATAACAACTTCCGTCTTCCCTCCCTCCGATGATCGACGACTGACGAGGGGAGAAGGTGAAGGAGACGTGGACTTATAAGAAGAAGAAGAGTACTGAGTGAGTGAGTGAGTGAGTGAGTGAGTGAGTGAAGCAGCAAAAGGCACGCTCACGTAAGTTTGGACTATTCGTCTCTTATTTTGCATCACTATGGACGTCAATCATATTGTCCGACAAATAATTTATATAGGTGCTTGCAACTTTAACAATATTTTATTTACAGAAAGACGAATATCCTGAGGCGGCTGGGTGCTGCGTGACACGCGTAGGTCCGATCGGAATGGAAAACGAAATTCATGGTAATCATAGAAACATTAATCATTCTTTTATCGGACGTCTAAATTTATTTGTTTCTTCTCTATGTGTTACAATTTTATCGGACAGTCTTTGAAGAGATCTTAGTTTTCGGTTTCTGATTTCGTTTGACAACAGAATAGTTGTTTGGAGTGCATGTCCATCTGCCATCGAACGAGAACGTGGTGGTTCTAGTGAAAGTACAGATTCCAGATTGGAGCACAAAATGAAAACATTTTAGTTTGTGGAGAAAATAGAGCAATAAATGAATTATTTTCGTGATCATTTGAAATATCTAATTACCATGTTAATTAGAGATTGTTGATAAACAAACGATAATTCACAATTTTACCAATAAAGTGTCGGCCTAGATGGCAAGAGAGTTTGCTCTTCTCTTGGTTAAGATCCCGAATGTATCATGCCGATGCGGGGGACTGCGCCCTTACAATCCTCTAAAGTGGTGGATCAATCAAGATGCACGAAATCTAGCCTAGACACTACCTGACCCGCTATATCAAGAAAAAAAAAACTGAGAATTTTCATGCCACGCGGATTTTTGCTAATATGGGTTAGGAATCTCAACAACTTTGCTGATGTTTTCTTCAAGCGGAGCTAGTATAAGCCCGACCTTACCCTCTCAGGAAAATTGTAATATCGAGCGCAAACCCTATCGTAACCCTAAAAATATAGGGGTGGTTTCACAAACCCCGACCAGGGACTTAAACTAGCATCAGAAAGCAAGTATACAGACTGAGACTCTAAAAACTCTTTCATTGGGAAGTGCAAGGTGTAGGCAAACAATCGAGAAAATACCCATGGAGAGTTCTTGCCTTCAAGGTCAGACATATGTTCTTTTTTTCTTGGTTAAGGGTTTTGAGGGCGATGAGAATGTGACCAAAAAGGGTTTAGAAGTAGAGTTAAGACTACGGTGACTGTGCACGACCTCTGTTGGTAGATTCTGAGCATGTCTAGTTTGCATGGTCCAATTACTCGGTCGAGAAATAGAGATGACAGTTACGTTAGGCTGCGCGATTCATGGCCCCAACACGGCATGCCGTAGGTCGTGCTTGGAATGGCTGGTCTGCTAAAGTGATTGATTGCTTTGATCACAGAATTTTGGCATTTGATTATATCATGTGCTTTTGTGAACGGATTCTAGATATGACAGTTTCTTTTCTTACATTAATTGATAAGAGTGGATTGTCAGTGTTGGCTTGTGCTCACAGTTACCGCCCAGTCTTGAGTCCCTGTTTTGTCCAGGCGAAAACATAGTGCTTCTGTCTGGACCATCGTGTTGGGCCTAAGGAGACTCTTGCTAATAATCCGGAGAGTGATGTCTGGTGGAAGACTTTTGCTTGAAGCCTGCTTATGAGATCAGTGAAGGAAGAACGCTTGATGAATCCAAGATGGTTCTGGATTTTGAAAAACGAAGAATCTTCCCAGGATCAGATTTGGCTAAATTTGCACGATGGCATAGCTGTCAATGATGTCATCGCATCTAGAGAACTTTTAATGTCCAAACAACCTGACTCAGATGTGGTCAAGAAGCTCTGAGCTGAGACCATCAACCATCTTTTCCGAGCTTGCCCGATAGCTAGGAAATTTTTGAATTACTTAGGAATTCCTACCACCTTAAGAAAAGAATATGCAGGATTGGATTCGCGAAGACAACTGGAGTAAGGTTCAGTATCAGAGGCCAAAAATCCCATGTGGAGAATGCTCTTCCATGCGGGGTTTTGGTGCCTTTGGATAGAAAGAAATAACTGTTATTAAAGACCTTTTCTTTAGTGACTCCACCGGTGGTACTTGCTTGTATAGCAGAGAATGTGACTTGACTTGGTTCCTTTGATGTAATTCTGGTTCTCACCGGAAAAAACACGAAATCTGGTTAACCTCTTGTTGGACCAGGTATCAAATGAGAAGATTGCCAACAGTCGGCCCACATAAGCTGGCCCATCTCAGCCCAGTAGTTCTCTTTTTTCTGAAGCATTTGCCGTACCGACCGAACTTTCCATGCAAGAAACCTGGAAACTGACAAAAATCAGAAAACTTTTTGTGGGTAGCCATCGTTTTCATTCATCAGTCCCCCGGGGTCTCTCGTGGGTTCCCCATAATCCACCAACATCCACCGTGTTGGATTCTTCTGCAGTAGGGTTTTTGTGGGGTTTCTCCACATCCCCTTGACCATATATAACTGAATTCTATCGAGTTATACGAGAGAGGCAGAGAGAGAGAGAGAGAGAGGGAGAGAGGGAAATGGGTACTCTGAGAAATGGAGCAGAGAGAGAAGAGGCCGGGGAAGAGGAAGAAGAGCCAATTCTGAAGAAGCAAAACCAGAGGTTCTGCATGTTCCCCATTCGGTACAAGCCACTCTGGGAGATGTACAAGAAGGCTGAGGCCAGTTTCTGGACTGGTACTGCCCTGCAATTCTCCTTTTTTTCTTGTAATTGCGTTTGTGAATGTGTTTTTGAGTTGGTTTCTCTGTTTCATCATGTGTGATTCCTTCTTTCCCATTATATTGGAGTGATATACTTATATGCAGTATTATTCTCGGAAATATTTCGATCTCATTAAAATTTTCGAGAATTGCCTTCTGTTTCATTACTTGTGTTCATCCCTTGATTTATTTGAACGATATGTGCTTGGTGTTTCGGATATTTTATTCTGTGCTTTATAAGGATTCCACTGACTTGTTGCTCTGTACTTTTGGGCTCTCTTGGTTTCTCTGTAAAGGGGACTCTAAGTTTTGCCCATTTTTAAGGAAGTCGGTAGTCGGGGGGTGTCAACCGATCAGCAAACGTGTAATTTGGCCTATGTTTTTAATTTATCAAGTAAGATTACCATGGACTATTTAGGGATTGGTTTCGTTATCTGATCATGTATGTGTCCTAATTCAGTATCAAAGACTTCGCATATACTTTTCTGTGAGAAATGGAGAATGATCGAATAATGCAGTGGAGTATTTTTTGTCGTGGAGAAAATATGATTAGAGACGAAGGGTTGCAGCACAATTAGAATGAGCGATGGTTGTAAATGAATTTGGATGACAATTGTACAAAGATTTTCAAATTCTGAGTCAAATCCTTTTGTTCTAGCCATTCTCCATTGTGTTGGTGCACATGTTGAGATCTTAAATGAAGAAATTTAAATGCTTTGAAGAACACGTGAAACCTGTGGTCATTTTCAAAGTAGTTCTGGAGCATACATCTTGGTTCAGTGTATCGCATATCCACAATCTTAAGGTAATAATTCAGAACACCTCTTATTTCAGTCTTGCACGGCATTTTGCTTGCTAAGATGCAAGCAGCTTCATATGAGAGTATTTGCAATTCCATGTGCAGACACTGATGGTTAAATATTTATTGCATCAGATGGCAAGTACCAGTTAATTTTCTAATATTTAATCCTCTTTTATTGGGTTTGCAGCTGAAGAAGTTGATCTGTCTCAGGATTTGCAGCACTGGGAAGCTTTGACAGGCTCAGAGAAGCACTTCGTAAGCCACGTGCTTGCATTTTTCGCTGCATCTGATGGTATTGTGTTGGAGAACTTGGCTGCAAGATTTTTAAATGACGTTCAAGCTCCAGAGGTAACCCTCATCAGATGAAGAATCTGTTATTTGTTAATATATTTCGACTAGATCGTATTGGGGATTGAATGTGCTATTCTGTTATAGCTTCGATGTTAAGTTGGGAAATGTGACACGAAAAGGAGGAATACACATATGATGAATTATCACTGTGCTCTAAAATAGTGAGGTTGACCGTATGGGATAAGTTCTCCGCTTATGCTCTGCTATTGTCTCTTTCTTGATGCAAGTATCTATCTCATTTTTCTTCATTTTCTATATCTTGTTCCTATCTCATGTTTTTTGTTGTTCTTCAATGGTTGGTGAAACACCCATTATTAGATTGGTCATTGCTTTTATCTTCTTCAAATGTCTGGAAGAGTAATTCCTCTCAATACACTTTCAGGCTCGAGCCTTTTATGGATTTCAAATTGCAATGGAGAATATTCATTCCGGTATTGCATATCAGACTGGTTATTTATTATTATTCAGTGTTATGCAATGTATGCTCGTTGTTATGGATATTATTATGGCATCTTACAGAGATGTACAGCTTACTTCTGGAGACTTATATAAAGGATTCAAGAGAGAAGCACAGATTGTTCAATGCAATTGAAAACATCCCATCTGTGGCTGATAAGGCTAAATGGTCATTTAATTGGATACAAAGGTGATGCTCATTTATTTTGGCAAATTTGATCTTGGCATTTCTTACGTATTGAGTTCACAATGGATGTGATAATAATGTTCTGCAGTAGTTGAATGTTCATTTTCATTCTTAACTTGTGATTTAACATTATTCTCAGAGGTCATTTCAGTAGTCGAATGTCCCTTTTCATTCTTAAGTTTCTGATTTGCAGTTCCTCTTCTTTTGCGGAAAGACTAGTCGCTTTCTCTTGTGTGGAAGGAATTTTTTTCTCTGGGAGGTACTTTCTTGATAATCTTCACTGGCTCCACTTGATATTTAAGTTAGATAGATTTCAATGCTTAACTTTTTGAATAACATGGTTTTATTGGGGATTGTGATATTTTCCCCTTTGTTTATTGGTTGCTTTTTTATTCAGCTTCTGCGCTATTTTCTGGCTTAAAAAGAGGGCATTGATGCCAGGTCTGACATTTTCGAATGAGCTCATTTCTAGAGATGAGGGCCTCCACTGTGACTTCGCTTGCCTTTTGTACAGGTGATTTTTCTTTTCCAGAGTTAGTTAAAATTAGCTATTGTCAATGAGTTGATGGTCCGTCATTGTTTTTCAATAGGTAAGTTTTTAAATGGGTTTCCTTCATGTTAGTTTGTTGCAGAAGCAACTACATCAAGAAAAGGTTCATAAAATTGTTCAAGAAGCAGTTGAAATAGAGATCCATTTTGTCTGTGAGGCACTCCCATGCGCGTTAATCGGCATGAATTCAACTCTAATGAGCCAGTACATAAAGTTCGTCGCCGACCGGCTTTTGGTATATTTCCTTTCCTCTTAAATGCTTTTTCCATCACTTCTAGGGTGGTTGCATTTTCTGTAACTTATTGATTCATACTTACAAAAAATTTCAGGTTGCTTTAGGATACCAGAGAAAATATAACGTGGAGAACCCGTTTGAGTGGATGGAGTTCATATCCTTGCAGTGAGTATTGAAATCAGATGTTTTGGCTTCTTTATTGTCAACCTGGATTTATAATCTCAGTGATTGATCATTTGATCAGACTAATTCTGCTTTTAAGATTTTAACCTCATCTATAATACTTCTCGTCTTTAGCATGGATATCCTATAAAATAATGAAAAGCACTTAATTAGGAACAAAACTTGTTTGCCCGACTATAGGGTAGATAGCAATCATTTAAGCATGCTATTGAATTAATCATTTCATAGTCATTCTGGTGGAAGGATTTTAAATATTAGGAAGACTAAATGTCATAGTCTTATGGGGTGGATAGCAGTCATTTTCAGTTTAAAGCTAACATAGCGATCAATGATGTCTTCAAGGAATATGGATTGAGTGAAGGAAAGATTTTGATATTTTTTATAGGGTCCTGTTTGTTCGTGTCTGATAGCCTTTTTCCCTTTGTTTTGAATCACTTGCTTCTTTGTGAAGTTTTGTTTATCTGGGAGTTGTTTAATGTGAGGCTTTTTGTTCCTGACCACTGTTGCGGTTTGCAGATTGAGCCTTATAGTTTGAACTCCTTGAATTCAGCCTGAGTTCGAGTTTGTTAATCCTTTTTGTTTCTGCTGTGCAGAGGAAAGGCCAATTTCTTCGAGAGACGGGTGGGCGATTATCAGAAGGCATCTGTTATGTCGAGCCTTCAAGATGGTGGCAAGAACTTTGTCTTCAAGCTTGACGAGGACTTCTAAACAGTTGGAAAATTGCTAGGGTTTCATTTAGCATAGAGATGCTGAAAGCGGGCATCGTAAATTTTTTGTTGTCATCACAGCACGGAACTTTGTTTATAGTATATCCCATTAAGAAGTAGCCTTTAGGTATCGGTTCATTGTGTGAATTGTCGATTCCTAGATTGATTTTGGCCTTCTGAAGTTCCTTTCAAATGAATCGTCATTTTGGCTTCAAGTTGTTGTCAATTTAGGTGTGGACCTTTGGATGTTTTTATCGTATGTTGGTCTAAGTTCTCCAAGGTTTTCTTGAGCTGCTGAAGCATCCCAAGGAAGAACTAAATCATATTTCAAGTAGATGAATATTTATATATAAACTTGTAATATCTTGCCGACGTAGTTAAAGTGATAATTACCAAAATATTATATTTATTGCAATATAATGTCATGTTATGTGCTCAATTTTGAACTATAATCTAAATACATTGTTATTATAATTATTACAGCGTAATAAGTATTACATTGTAGCATTATTCCATTACTGCAACCAAATGGGCCGCTAGACATTATGTTATCCGGTTTCAACATACATTAATCGAAGGATATGTTCACGTGCTTCAATTAATCATCCTCACATATGACCATTGTCCATAGATCGCGGTTCTGATGGTCATGTGCTCACGGTTCAAAGAAGCATGTTATATAGAAAAGAGATGACCCAAGAATCATTTTGCGACAGTTCCAACACGCACGTCTGCAGTCCAACTTACTCGCAAAGAGCGAAGCTGTGCCGTGCAAACCACTTGGGAGGTTTCTTCCTCGAGAAGAAAACAAATCTCAGTCGATGCAAGCTCCCCACGAAACTCACAAGCGAAAATTTGAAGCCACACATGAAATAGACAAGCAGCACTCGCCCCACCGGCAAATGTTTGAGCGGCACTGGCACCACACAGATGGATCCTAAGCTAATTGAGGATACATAGCCTCATATTAAACCATGGATAATATCATTCACTACTGTCAATGAGAAGAAGACGGTGACCCAAAATGAACGACCCGAACATAACATAGCATCTGCAATTATGTCATGGTGGAGATATATTTTTCACCTGCAAGCGGTCCAATTGACCGTCATCCGAATCGCCTTCGAAACCTCAAAATATTGCACTTAAATGCGCATTTTGAATCCGCATGAGAGAGTGACATTCTTCTACCAATGAAGGGGGAAAAAGTGACATGTGCAGGGCAAGTATTATCCAGTTAGTAACCATATTTGCACAATAGTCGACCAGGTGCACTTCAGAGGGTCGTTCTCCTTGATGTTCGTGGCAAGACATAACTATTTGACATTGATCCAGTTCATGATTCTAAAAAGCAATCATCCACACCAAGTCATGACTGTATTTACGAAGCAAGCGGATGTTCAATGAATGAAACTGCATTTGCAGCGACACACGCCTCTCTCTGTCTCAACCCCAAAAAAGAGCTGGTGCACTAAGAATACAGCATCCAATCACAGTAAATCACAAGCTCAAATAGTTCAGCTCAACAAACAAAACGCAGGAGGTAAACTGGCGAAGAGAATGAGATGATCCATTCTGTTATCGACTTTACCAAACATAAATTGCAATATATACTTCTACATAAAGCAGAGTCATCATCCATCATTTGATGCACCTACAGCAGGGTCATTGCTATCAGAATCTGCATTCAAGTCAACCAAAGGTGAAACTGAACTGGTAATCGAGGATCAGGTGGGTGAAATGACACCCCGTTACCGGTATTTGCTGCAGCAGATGTTAGAATCAGCCCCTGAGCTTCGCTGCTTCACGGGCTGCTATTTCCTTGGCCCTTTGGGCTCTTTCAAACACCTCTTCCTGTGAAAAAATTGATATTGACGTTTATGCATACAAATCAATAAAGCAATGGACTCTTACCACTTACAGTATAATGTTACAAGGCTTTTTCAACTGATTAATCTGTAGTTATCTGCTGAAGTCGTAAAGACCAGCTTGAAGGATGACAAGAGAAGTCGAAACCGTCTAATGCAAGATATAGCAATCTACAAAAATCTAGTAGAATGAGTGATTACAATTGCATTTTCATAGGATCAGAGAATTACCAGCCCTTGTATTCTTTGTGCTAAAAAATAGAGAAGTTCTTTAATTACTTGTATAAGGTTTTCAATTCGCAAGACTGTTTCAGTTCTGACTCCTACAGATAATATCTATTCTACATCCTAATAAATATTGAGTACAGCCACTAAAAGGATCATGGTAGTTTTCATCCAATGACATCCTTCTTATTCTCAATGATGATACAGCTTCTTATGAAAATGTTCCCAGATAGCACCTTTTTTTCATCATCAAATTGGGCTCTTTATGTAGGGAACAAACCTCCCTGATGACTTCAGATCAATGAGCTTCATAATTAGATTGCATCAAGGGAAGAATCATGAGATCAAACAGGCACATGCTAATTACCTGGAATTCTTGCACTTGCTTCTGTTGTTCAGCTTGCAACCTCCTGATTGTGCTCAAGAACTCCCCAACCGTGGACTCAATACGCTCGTTTAGCGCTTAGCCAGAGCCTTCCCCAAGTAAAAAGCGTCAAACACGGCCATGCTGTCATTTTCACCTATACAATTTCAGCAAACGGGCTCTAAACAATGCAACAAGTGCACGATAAGGACAATCTGTGTCACAATTGAAATAAAATGCCAGGTGACCCAATAACAATAAATTTGACAACCCCCTTCCCCCTTCTCGTATCCTAGACTTTTTACCATTAGAGAATGTGCACAGCACTTTGAAAAGGACACGAGACGGTCTAGAGAAGAACAGGCATTAACAATATAGAGAAAACTCTGAAAAGAAACTAACAACAGGGGAACCCACAATAAGAAAGCAAACGAAAATATTAACATTGCAAGTGTGATTTTTGGTCCTTAATCATGAAATTAGCAAAGATGCATTAATTATTGGACAACAGTGCAAGAAATAATAAGAGATCGAGGATTAAACTCAGCTAAACAAGAGCCGTTGGCAGTATGATAACTCAATACAGTTTCCATTACTACAATTAGGCAGGAATTCACGCCTATAGCAAATCTTACAGAACATGAACCAACGAAATATGAGCTTGTCTAAAAAGAAAAAAATCCTCCGCCTTGTATTCTTTAACATCCTAACCGACAACAGAAGTGCCTCTTCGGCATCACAGATCAAAATTCTACAAAGCTAATACAGGACGACAAAACTGCAAAAATGAATTGCTCTTATTTCCCAACTAATGTTCATCTGAGTTTTTCCTCTTCTTTGTCTTCTTATTCGGACGCTCCATCAAACCATCTTCTTCTCACCCCTCTTGAATCTCCTCACGCCCTCTCTTTTTCTTAGAACTCTCTCGCTCTTTAACTACAACCCCATTATCCAGTAAACTACTGTCATCTCCTCCCTTTTTCTTTTTCTTCTTCTTACTCGACTGCTCCGAGAAATCCTCTCCACCTTTCTCTTCCCCTTCAGTGCTCTCACCTGCCTTCTTCTTTGCCTCGTCAACAGCCATTACTCTGCCTTCATTCCTCACTCCAGCCTCCATCCCATTTTCCCCAAGATTACCAGTATGATCTGCATCCACCTTCTTCTTCTTCGACTTCTTTTGCTTTTTCCTATTGCCACCCAAACCCTCGTGATCCCCATGACTCGGCTCTTCACTGAGTTCAACCGTTACAGTCTGTCTCGGTTCCACACTCGGCTCAGTCTCTTGAGGTGGCTCTTCAGCACAATCTAACTTGCGGTGGTTGCTTTTGCATTCAGATTTAGGGGCCTTTAGTTCCTTGTGCAAATGAGCCAGCTCATCAAAGGCGGTGGAAGCACGCTGAAGATAAGCGCTGATAGCATGGGAAGCACCGTTCTCGACCGTCACAAACTTGGAGAGGATCTTAGCAGCTTTAGGGAGAGATATCGGCTTGGAGGAAATAACACGGCCCGCAAGTGTCTTCATTCTAACACGGTCCAAAAGTAGCCTTATCCTCAAATGATGTTGCCTCCAATTCAACAGTCCAACACTGGACTGCCCGTTGAACCTGCAAGGTGAGAAAATCAAGAACTAAATGCTGAGTCCGGAGCTAGCAAAACTAAAGAAATACACATGATCTCGCCTAGAGTCCATCCCAGCACTCACCCTAACTGGGGTTTCGGATATATATATGCGCAAGCACAAGGCAAACAACTGAATTCAATACTTTTAGTTCAACAACTTCTCGACCAGTCTTCTTTCTCTCAATCATAAATTTCATTCCTTAACCTCAACTTACTAGCTACCCTTCGTGGCGCGAAGTTTCCAATAAAAGGTGCAGAGATTTACTGATTAAAACCAACGACCCAGATACTAAAACCACCTAGAAAAATCGAAACAAGCCGCAAAGAAGCCATATGTCGTCGGCGCAAACTTGCAAACGCTCAAGTTCTCTTCGAAATTTCTGCTTTTTTCTTTGGTGGGTAGTAGCCGAAACATCCTCAAAGCATCCCCAAAGACGGGCTTTGCCCGCCAAAGCGCTATTCGCGATGATTTCGTCTTTCGCTCGAGCTTCATACGCAACAAGAAGCGAACAGAAACGCATTTTCACCAAACAGAACTCAACGGCGAACGGCGGATTCGGGGCACTGACCTCGTGAAACTCTAGCAGAATCGACCGGGATCCATGAGAAGCAGGAGGCGGCGGCTGCGCGTCCGGTTTTGCGCCGCCCTGGCTGGCGGTGGTGCGGCGGCGCGTTTGCTTGACCGGCGGGTGCGGAGGCCAAGCTTTAGGTCTGCTCTTCAAAGTAAAGAAGAGGGAAAAATCGCACCATAAAAGGCTATATAAAAAGGGAATATGAGGGAAAAAAAAGAGAAAAAAAAAGAAAAGAAAAGATAGTTTAGAAATAGAGGGATTAAATTAAAATTAAAAAAAGGCGAATTATAGTTTCTATGTAATGACAGTCTAAATCAAATCCTACTTTCATAATTTTTTTTAGTTTGTGTAATCATAATAAAGTAGAAAAGTGTGAAAAATGGTATTCATGTAGTAATATGATAAATATTATAATTTAAATTAATAAACATAAGAGATGGTGAAAATAGGAAGAGCGTTCGACTTTTAAATCTTTTCTAAATTGATTTTTTGCTCCTTATTTTGTAATATACATTCTTCATCTCATGGCATACATGGATTCTCCCTTTGTTTGAATGAGGACTACGTCTACGGATCATCAATTACTTGGGCTAGCTTAACTAATGTAGAAGTATACAGAGAAATACAATTTTTGATCTTCTGTAATTTTAGTATTTAAATTTTATTTTTTTAAGTATTGTTTAGTATAATTAATTCAAAAGATCAAATATACGCAAATTAACTTTTGAAATTCCGTAAGACTTTTACCATTGATATTCTAACAATAAAGATTTGGTTTATTTTTGTAAAAAAGTAAAAAAAAAAATCTTTGGGGGTGGCTCTAAACCTCCCCAATGAGACCATAATCACTCTATTTTTGGCCGTCATCGTTGTCGATATCTAAGTATCTAATAATAGATTAAAAAAAAAAAGTTCTTGTCGGTATCCGTTGTTGATATCCGAATGTCTAATAACAGATTAGAAAAACAAATAGCGCAGTTTGAGTACGAAAAAGGTACATACTTTCGTTCCGACTCCTAGAAAAGCGATGATGTTTGTGAAGTATACTGGTCACTGGTGCCCATATAGAGAATATGTATCTTTTGAGATTATTTAATTTAATGCACAGTTCACTTAAGGCAAAAACAAGAAATACATGGAGGACGGTAAAGAGAAAGAAACATGCCAAGACATCTCATCCCAGAAATTTCGGAAACAAAAGTTCACTTCATGTGGTCTAAACTTGATCAGACAGACTTGGTCATGGGTTTTCCAAGATTCTCCTATGATCAGATATTCCGTGCAGTTCATGTCCAGACATGCTCCACAAAATCGTATGAAATTCTTATCAAATTAGCCAAATAAATAATCATAATAACTAGCTGAAATAACCCAATCCTGAAGATGCCAACCCAGGTTTTCATTTACATTAAGTCAGGCTAGGTGGCATTAGGTAGTGGTTCCTCTTCTTTCTCTTCTCTCTTGGCAGTACTCCAGCTTTCCCTCACTCAAAAGATCAGCCCTTCCGGCACAGGTGTATTGAGGTAGTATATTTGGGCTTCTATACTCGCGAGATGACTGTTTCCAACAGCTTTAACTTTGGCATAGCCGAAACCATTAGGTGTTCAGCAAGTTGGCTAGCGGGTTAGGGAATAAAGTGCTAGAGAGGGAGGCCGGGGGTTCGACCACCAAAGCAAGGAAGAAGAACACCGTGCCATAGTGACCAGCAAGAAAAAACATGTGCCATTGCAGTAATGGTCTCGGACAAGGAGAGATCCTCAAGCTCTTTGGCGTCTGGAACTGAGCCAGTTCATGAGAGTGATCATGCTGGAATCGCAAGGACTATGGAATGCGCAGGTCGCCAGCAGAATGCACTCTATGTGAATTATGCTGACAAGATAACAATTCGAGAAGGCAATTAGTAGCTGAGATGGATTGCCTTTGCACATCTTTGAAATCCCATAACAGGACGAGCAATGCACATCTGATGCTTTTCTTCAGCGCATCGACCGTGGAAATGTAAGCATGGCGGGTCTGTGAACGTTGAAATCTTGAGCGAATGTTTCCAATTGAGCTGTGAACCTGTGATGCCTCTCCCATCTCAAGACCCACTATTCCGAGAAACACTTGCCTGAAGCCATATATGAAGTCAATACAGGGCAGCAAAAACTGTGGGTCCTGCATGAGGTTATGGCCATGTGGCATCAGTTTACTGGACATAGTCAGTAACGACTGTTACTTTTGGGGGCAGAACAAACCCATGGATCCGACTGTATCTCAACAGGTAGAAGCAGCCGCTGAATCACCCAACACCGCTACAACCAGGCAATCTCTTCAGTCCTTGACTGTGAATAACTCTTCTCGCTGAAAAGGCATCATGCCACCTCCCTACGTCTGCATATATGTTTGACAGAAGAACCCTACAAGGCCCATGAGTTGGCTGCAAATTTTCCAAGCTCTGCGCAGCCCACTCTCCTATCTCCACATTCCCATGTGTTCTGCACGCTGACAAAAGCGCACCCCATACTGCAGCATCTGCTTCCAAGGGCATGGTCCTAATCAATTCTGTAGCTTCTTGCATTCTCCCAGCTCTACCTAATATGTCCACCATACAACCATAGTGCTTAACATCTGGATCCACATCATACAAAACCTTCATGCTTCTAAAGATTTTTTTCCCTTCCTCAACTAGGCCCGCGTGGCAACATGCAGTTAGGGCTCCAATAAATGTAATTGAATTAAGCCTGATGTTTCGCTTCTGCAAGTTGGAGAATATTGCAAGAGACAGATTTGCATGTCCATGCATCGCCAACCCACATATAATTGCATTCCATGGTGACACGTCCCGACCATTGTCTCGAACTTGATGAAACACTTCCAGGGCAGAAGTGATGCTACCGCACTTTGCATACATGTCAATTATTGATGCACTCAAATTGTCATTGAGAGGGATGGAGTTCTTCTGTACATATTCATGAGCCCATGATCCTTCTTTCAGGGAACCCAAAGCAGCAATAGCGGAGAAGACGCTCGCCATTGTTACTTCATTAGGGCAGAGCCCACTTGCGACCATCTTGTGAAAGAGTTCAAGAGCCATATTTGGCTGCTCCTGCTGTGCATAACAAGAAATCATGGTGGTCCATGAGAAGACATCCCTTTCTGACATCTGGTTGAACATCTGCCTAGCCTGGTCAATCATTCCATTTCTTACAAATCCTGCAATGAGGGCATTCAGAGATGCAAGGTGGTCCTTCGATCCAGTCTCGAATTGCAGATGAGCAAGGTCGATCCTGCCACAAGCTGCATAGAAATGGATTATAGTTGCCTGGACAAAGTCAGAACAGTCAAAACCACATCTCACTATCAAATTATGAAGTTGCTGCCCCTCCACGGCTAGCACCGATCTAGCACAAGCTGAAACCAAATCAACTAGCATCACATCATTCGGCCTCAATCCAGACCGAAGCATTTCACGGCACATGATCAATGCTTCACTTAACCTCTGCACTCGCAAATAACTATCGATCAATGTACCCCACGAAACCACATCTCTACTAGGAATCTTCTCAAACAATTGTCCAGCCAAATCAACGAGTCCTGCCTTTGAATATCCGTTCAACATCACGTTCCACGAAACTACATTCTTCTTGGGCATCTCCTCGAATAACCTGCTCGCTTCCTCTATGCTCGAACAAATACAATACATGTGCAACAAATTTGTCGATACAATAACACTACTGTCAAGTAGCAATTTAATCGCCAAAGCATGAAGCATTCTACAGTTCCATGGCTCCCCAGAATGCGAGCAAGCCGGGATGACACTCGCCAAAGTCGCCTCGTTAGGGATGACGCCAGCAACCCGCATATCCTTGAAGACCTCGATCGCCTCCCCCCAAAACTTATTTTGCGCGAACCCCATTATCATAGTCGTATACGAAACACACTCTTTCGTCGTCATTTTCTCAAACACTTGGAAAGCATCCCACAACCGGCCAGACCTCACGTACCCAGCAATCATTATATTCCAGCAAACCACACCAGAGCCGCCGCAGGAACCAAACAGAACCCCAGCCTCATCCATCAAGCCGCACTTCGCGTACACATTGGTCAAGCTGTTGCGCACGAAGGAGTTGGCGAGGAGCCCTGTTTTGACGACGAGGGAGTGGAGCTGGCGACCCTGAGGAACGGCCGAAACAGAGGCGCAGGACTTGAGGGCCGACACGAGGGCCAGCTCGCGGTCGTAGCCTTGCTCGTGGGTGCCTCTGGCGTTGAAGAATGTGAGGACGTGGTCTCGCAGATGGGGAGGCGGTTCGGTGGCCGTAGCAGAGGAGACCCATCTCGGATTCGGTGGAGATGGAGAAGCGATCCGAAGGAGATGACGGAATTTGGGTCTGAGTGAAATGGTCATGAGAGGCTTGAGAGAGCATGAATA